CACTTGGAATTAAAATCTATTTATATATATATTGCATTGTTTAATACTTATAATCAAGATTGCTAAGTTCAGTGTGTGGACGAAGTATAGCGATGGAATCACTAACATATTTATGACTGTTTGATATTTCTTTGCTGCAGTCTGCATATCATCCAGAGAAAGCTAATTTTAAAGAAGTAGTCTCGAAATTTTCGGGAATAAACTCAATATTGTGAAACATCATACAAAATATTATATAACGAGTGTTCTCTTTTAATAAATCATTTCATTAGTTTTTTGAACTTCCTCTGTTTTCCTGGATTTTGTTGCCTCTCCTCAGAGACAACAATGTGGTGTCCTGCTTTCATGTCTTTGTTAGCACACTTCAGCTTTGATTCTGTCATCAGTGCCACCGCTCTTTCGACTGCTTGCTGGTGGCAGGGATATTTCGTCACCAAAGGTGATTCTATGAACCTGTCGAATTGATCAGGATCAGAGGGATGCACCCTTACTACCGATGGAATAGTGACTGCAGCCCACTTCAGCTCTTCTGAAATATAACTTGTTATCATAAACTTTCCTTTTTAAATTCAATACCATCCGTATTGTTTTCACTTTGACCTTATAGCTTTGAATACAAACGTATGTCAATAACTTTATTAATACAATAATATAATATCAATAGTTACGTCATAGTAAATACAATTTGAAATGAACTTACTGCACGCAGTTTTGTAACAGAGACCAAATAAATGGTACGGTTTGAAAGACTTAGTCTTTCTCACCGGATCTTTATCCTCGATGTCAGTGTTGTAAATGACAAGGTCAAGGTACGATTTTGCATTTCTGTTAATCTCTGGCTTGCAAAATATCCGCGGTTTTCCATTCGGGCGTATTGTCCGGTTCATGCCCTTCTGCTCTAGTTCTATAAGCTGCCTGCAGAGAGCCACGCCTTTTTCCCGAACAGCTCTATCTGCGTCACCTTGAGGAGTATTTTCATTCACATTTATTTAAAGGAACAGAACGTTAACATCTATAAAAGGTGAAAAAAAGCAGCAAAACGAGAGCATTCCTGAAGGATGGCCCAACTTGATGTTACATAATATAGCGGGACTAAGGATATCAAAGCGCAACATTAACCGCAATGCTGATAACAACCTCGTCTTAATACCATAAGCACGCACGGAAGCATTACTGAATCAATTTCACTGCATACCATCACAATTACACTGTCAACAATTCATATTAGATTCACCAGCAACCCCGGCATGGGCTTATCCTACTGATAACAGTCGTACTACACAATTTGTGTGCGTTTTGACTTTTGATAGCTAACAATTAATTAATATATATTTTGAGTAAAGATTGGCTAGCACTTTAGGCCAGCACCCAACAAACTAATAAAATACTTTATGATTAGTTATGATAATAATAAACATGCCGAAGAAGGAATAAAGTTATACTTGGCGAAACCTAAAAGACAAGCTGTTTCGTAAAGCAGCTTTATCATGTGGCTGTCAAGAAAAGCAAAACATTTAAGTTTGGAAGCATACCTGCGTACTAAATCGGCTGTTTGACATCTCTTCAAGCAAATATTTTAGATCGGGTGTTAGGAAATTTTCTGGATCAGAGGAGGATGTTTTCTTATCAGCAGATCTCGTAGTCATCCCACTACTACTAGAAAAATCGTTTAACCTGTCTCGGATATTCCTGAAAATAATAATTGCTAAATAATTCAGTTGATTTATGTATAAATATTATATAATACTAGAATGCCCGTGGTCACAGAAAGGAAGGTTACAGTATTCTTTGGTCAGTTTTTATAGCGTACATAGAGACATAACCTTTCGAATTATTACAATGATATATTATATATTTATATTAATGTACATTAGTTAGCCACAGAAATAATTGAGGCACACAAGTGATCTCAACTTTCGGTCATATTAACCTTATCAATAATGACATTGGCTATAATATAATAGTATTGAAACTATTACAACTATTACGGGCTGGAACATTATTAGTCGCATAACAATAGACAGATGATAATTTCTGATTATTCTGATTTCTGCAACAAATGATACTGTGCACACTGTTAGGATAAACGACGTTTCAAAGTAACAACTTCGTATTTATGCTGACAAAATTGGTAAATACCGTATGTGAGAAAACTGTCCCATAATATTTATAAATCAACAAGAGAATGAAAAAATGTGCAACAGTTACATAACTGTAACTGTATAATACACATAACATTAACTCTGTAATGCACTTCAAACTGCAGTATAAAGAGTACGCACTTCGCACAAATGACAAGAAGGTAATCTAGTAATACGATTTTTGGTATTAATATCTTTAATATTAATAACACGGCTTGTTCGATTCAAGCCCGTTCAATGTGGTCAATACCTGATGTGCGGATCACAGGCTTCATTATTTACAATAGCTGAGATTAGGCAGATATAGCGGTTCCAGTCGTTACCTGGGGACCCCAGGCTGTAATATCCAGATAAATTGAAGCTGCGGCGGAATGACAATCTGGGATGAGTGCGGCCCAGGAATGCCAGCCGTTACGCCGCTCAGCTTAATGTAAAAACTGTATTACAATTGATAGCATCATTACAATTTCAATCACGTTTTAGAGCAATTTACACGAGAGTAGGACAATTATAACCTGTTTAATCTTGTTCGGCGTCATCGAAAACATAGGGTTACAAGGTTTCCGCTTCGATTTCCATCAATAAAAAATCCTTCTAATTTCGATTCTCTGGGCCAGCTGTCTGCTGGGTTTCAGAAGGTGGTACCAGATGCTGCTATAATTGAGCGCTCAGCTGCTCTAATTGGGTCCAATTACACCCGATACACGATATTATTCCATATAAGGCCTGATCAAGTAGCTTCAGCTCTGGTGACGTCACAAAATCTCCTAGTCGGCATACGACACGTTACGAATGTGATCACGTGCCCGAGGCTTTACGAATCAAGGTCACGTGATAGGATTAGCGGTCACGTGATAGGACTGAATGTCACGTGACCTCAGTTATCCCTTATATGGCACAACTAGCTGCAATTGATCAGCTCTTAATTAGGCTGAAATCCTTGACAGGCCTATAATTACCCAATTTTAAATGAACGATATCTCATCCTACAGAATGATGAGAGCGTAAACAAAATGCTTCCCGGAATCAGCACAATGCAGGGAACAAGATGCTGTTGGAATATCAATTATTCATCTTCCACCCGTAGTCCCTACGGGGCAGCGTTACGCCACTGCAATCGGTTCTAAATTATGTTAGGATTGTTGACATTTGTAAGATTGACTTATTTGATAATAATAAGACAATCCGAACAATCCAATAATCGGCCATTTATTATATCATCATCACAAGAATAAAAATATATTTGTACTCATTCAATATCTTACTTCTTCTATTATTCGGACACATTTATTTAGCTACTTCATTATAAAAAGCTATTCCTGTCAAGATGAGAATATTCAGCAGAATACCAATGACGAAATATTAATTCTGTAATACTAATATCGAAACGAAATGTTTTTGAAATCAATCTGAGAAAAACTGCGAAGAAGCGAATAATAATTCGTGTAGCGCTCGATTTATATCGTCGATTCAATTTTTATGCGCGACACGAGTGCGCGGCGTGAAAATAGCGCGAGCGATTCTAACAATTGTGAATTTTAATTTCTGTCCTAGCATGTAACAGTGTATGAGGATGCATACCAAATATTGTTTAGGTCACGTGACAAGCTAGTCAAACACGAATTCGATTATTTATTACCTGGGGACCTCAGGCTATCATGTTCATTAACATAGAGATTCGGCGGAATGACAGGCTGAGCTTGAGCGCGGCCGCGCCCAGTAAATTATTTAGGGCTCGGGTTAGAGTTAGGATTACAATATTGGTTAGCTCCGAGGTTATAGTTAGGATTGGAATTACAGATTATATAAAACCACGTTTTGTCGACTGCAAAACTGCAACCGTATAAACCAAAGTCACGTAATAATTTTTGGCCGAGTGAATCAGTAAAAGACAAAACACAAAAGCTAACGCTTTGCGCTATTAGTGCTTATTATTATTACTTGGAGGACTTCGCGTCTTCGCCGCTTCGATGCGCCGCGCAAACTAGCATTTTTGCTTTGCATCGTCGATCGTTGCTTTGCATTGCAAAGCTAGAGCAACGATCTTGATGGGTTGACATTGTCAATCAAATTATTAAATGACTTCACCTAACCTATGTGCTTTCGCGTTAAGCTGCGGGCGCGCTTATTGCAAGCGCAATTACACGACTAAATTCATGTTGTACGTTCAACGTTTATAATCTCGAGCATGCTAAATTTTACCTGGGGATTCGATTCACGATGTCAATCCTTTGCAGCTTGACAAAGTGGCCATTGGTGCATTTTGCGCAAACTAGCATTTTTGCTTCGCATCGTCAATGATCGTCGATCGTTGCTTTGCAAAGCAACAATCTCGATGGGTTGACATCGTCAATCAATGATCTACCGAGAAGAATAATTATTTGATCGGCGGCTCGGTAGTTTATCGCGCTACAACCTGGGGATTGCTCTATTGTCTATCCACAATCCACACTACACAGCCCTTGCAGTTCGCTTGTATTGTTAACAGGTGATACTCGTAAAATATCTGTTCCATATATTACCGTCCAACTTGGCGCGCGTCCTGGTAGGTTATAAACCTACAATTGTATTGTATCACGTCGTGACATCCATGGTCATTTTAAAAACTTAGTTGTTAGTGACCAAATGCCACGATACTCGTGCCTACATTCTACAACGTAGGCACGTAGGAGGCCAAAAGTTCGCAACACGCAAGCTCTCCTCAAGAACCCCAGAAAAAGGGTACAAATTGTTTGCAAGAGTTTAGAGTTTACCAATTACCGCATGTATGGAGTATGTATGTATATTTTCAGTGTGTACGTGTATATTTTTAACTATGAGTTTACAGTTAGTGCTAACTACGAAGTGAAAATAATCAAATGCAAAATGGAACTGAAATTTAAAAAATGTCTGACTCTGGGCAGTAAATGGCGACATAGTTTACTCTCGATATAATTTAGAAACAACCATGAAGTGAAAGTTGATTTTTATCGTTTCTTTATGCTTTATTATGAAAGAAAAGCGCATAAATTATATCCCCAGCTTCACCATGTCATAGTCCTTATTGGTTTCCAAGTCCGGAAACTGTTTCATTGCCCCAGCCAACACGGACTTAATGTCTTTGTAATCTTCCTTCACATCTTTACCTTCATCATTTCTTCTCATGTACGTCTCCAGTTGATAATTCATCACTCGGGCGTACTTTCCTGCTTCTGCAAACTCCTCCGTGCTGAAATATTGAAAATTCAGCTGCTGCTCATTACATTGTTGTCTTCAAAAATCACATATTCTGTAGCGATCGCACAAAATGGCATCTTTTTACTATCCCAGAGCCATCTAAATAAATGTATAGTAGTTGATGGGCACTTCTCATTCATGTCCATTGAGTGTAATCCCCTGAATTGTGTTTCGGGAATTTCGATTTATGAACAGTCTAAAACCATTTTGCCAGCAGTTCTGAGGATTTACCTTAAGTAGTTTTGATAAAGAAGGTAGGCCATTATCCCGTAGTAATTGTTGTGATCGGGTTTAAACAGCATTTTAGTCGTACCGTCCTCTAATATTACTGTCATAGTATCACACGCGTGTCTGTAAAACTGAAATACAATACATCATTGGAACTGGACTGAAATACAATGGAATTGAAATAGATGTTATACAATTATTGAATTTTTAAAACTGTTTGTACGATTCTTTTTATACGCGCAGTAAAAAGCAGCACCAAGAAGACTTCTTTTTGATAACCCACCAAACATCTGGGTTAAAAAACAAAATACGAAGAGTATATGTGATATCATGGAGTGCAGTCTCTTCGTCACATTATTAAGTCGCCATTTCCATTACTTCCTATAGCAGTTTTAAAAATATATGAAAAGCTCACATTAAAGATCTTGATCATGAGGAGTCGGTTGTGTGGTTTTATATACGCTGTTTCATCTTCTGTAAACTTTACTTGAGCGTATATGGCAGGAAGGAATGCCTGAGCGCCACATTTGTCAGCTATTAGATGTTCCCAACTACGGACTGAAAATAATGTAGCTTAAGTCGGGATATCGTGGGTTTCGATTATCGCACCCCTTGAAAGATATAAAAGATACCAATTAATTAAATAACTAGCAATAAACTTTAGAATCAAATATTAATTGTTGTCCTATTTAAACAACTTTTTATAGTCTATTTTAGTTAGATATTTCTTTTATAATCAGTTTGACCTAAAAACGATTCACCACTTAATCGAACAGAGAAAGAAAATTGATCAAAAGTCCTGTTTAATCCTGTTTTAATCCTGTTTCATCTTTTGCTTGCCAGTTTTAGAACAATTTCTACAATAATCATTTGACCAGTCACCAGATTAAGGATAAAACAACGCTAAAACTCCATTATTACCTGGATACAGAGAACTGTCGCAGTTGATGTGACTGGTATCGAACTTCAATCGCTGATCCGCGATATCTAAAAACTCTTCAATACTGTAGGAATCTTCTTTATGCCGCACTGAGTTGAATAAAATAAATATCCCGTCAGTGTGTGATTGGGATTCAAATAATAATATGAGAACTTCAGAATCCAATAAAATATAGCTGCATAGAAAGAATATCGCAAAACTCACCTTCAAACACCATGCTGGTTGGGACAATCTCGTATATCTCCGTCCATGATTCATCTCCCTCTCTCATTTCCAAAGGATAAACGTATAGAGCAACCCTGGAAACACAGGTTAGTCGGTAAAATTAAAGGTATCGAAATGATGAATTTAAGTTCGTGAACTAACTTTTAAACAAACCTCCAATTCTTTTGCAGGTCCTACGTCCGAAAAATTGTAAGAGTCAATTCTTTCCCAAGTAATTTAATTAGTCTATATGGTTGCTAATCGGTCAAAAAATTTCAAAATTTTCTTGATGGTTTCAAAACTGAATCGGTTTGCAATTTCCATATATAATTGTTTTGGCGGGACTAAAGTTGGGAGTATATTTGCAAAAGGAGTATATTTAATGCAGTTCGAAAGGGTCTGAGCCTGGATTGCGTTATATTAAAGTCATTATTGTAACGGTAACCCCAAGACACGGTGATGTAGCTGTCATACCCTCACTGTCTAAGTCAGGTTCCTTTATACGCAACCAATCACTGTACGACAGGTCTTTTGCAGTCCAAGGACCGAAGCTGTGGAACAAAGTGCCTCACACAGTAAAGGATGATTCATCCTTTGACATGTTTAAGTGTACTTTGTCGAACTTTTTTTGCTTTGCTACCGGACAACCCTCCGGTCGCCGGCTACAGCTGCAGTTGGTCAAACTCACTGGTTGACTACTCGCCATCCAAGTGGTCAGATATCTGATGATCCTCCCGGCTCCACGGATAAACTCAACGAAGTAAGTAAGTATATTATAACAAGACAGACACAAAGTGTGAAGGGCCTGAAGGCTGAACGGAACCCCTCGGTTTCAGTTCCTTGTTTAACACTGCCGTACAGCAAGGACATCCACCGAGTTCGCAAGGCTGGGCACATAGCTCACTCCACAAGTTGCTCTGTCAAATGATGCTTATATACCGGGAATCTACAGGAAATGTTTCCTTGTAGGTTTTAGAGGGTGATCTGTGAACAGAAAATTACATCATTTCAAACTTATAGAAATAAGAATTCCTATACTATCCCAACGAGCGCTACACCAAGCGTATGAGAGGCGAGAGCACAAAAACTCGAATTATCTATTTTATGATTGCTTACCCAGCCATCCGGTGAACATCAAAAACGTCCAGAAAATTGTAAGAGAAGGGTTCTTTTTCTTCTCTTCGTATCTGAATTTCTTTAAAATATACCTCCCTGAGAATGTATGTTAGTAGTGATACTTCGAATTCTTAGGTGGTGATTTCCAAAACTGCTGGCTACAGAACATCTTGTTCGACTAAAAATATTACAGTTATAACCTGTCATAAGGGAATATGTAGTGGTTGAATCTAGGTCCGATCATTGATTTATACCAATTAAATCCAATTAACTCCTGATCAACCACGTCTACATCAGGTCTGTAGTTCTCACTGTAGCGCAGATAGCTGAGGAAGGTTTGGAGTCATTAAGAAGTTAAGAGTCGATGGAATCAATATGCCAATTATTTAATTATAAACATCTATCAAAGCGTGGATTTCAGAATACCTTACAAGACATATTTATAACGTACGAAATGTGGCGGTTTTCCGAAAATTTCGCCATATTTTCGGACCGCCAAAATTTCGATCGTCGCAAATTAGGCAGCCATAAATATGTCTTGTAAGGTAATACGAAAATTTTGTTATCACCCATGGCGCAAAATCATCCACAAATCCTCGCATCCTCGCCCCTCCTGAATATCTTAAAGGGTTAAATTGCAATTGTTAGAAAGTATAATTTCCATGATCACAAGCCCCTTAATTTTGTGAATCTCACGAGGTAATGATGGAAGGCATATCTCCTTGTACGAGCAGAACACCATTTCTTGGCACAGCATCTAACATATTCCTCCCGAAATCTCGCATGATGAAGTTGTTGTTCAACTCGCATGAAGTGAGGTTTCTTCTCTGGGAGTAATATTTTATTGTTACTTAGTTTTATCATAATTCCTAGCTAATTTGTAGCAGAGACAATCGGATTCAGGCCTAAGTTTAGGAATCGTTTTCGAGGAAAAGGTTTACTTGACAATCCATGTCTCCTAATATATATACATGTATAAGTGGTATCAACTATCAATCCTGGAAACAGTAATACTCACAATTTGATGAGTCCCAACCAGCAGGGCAACAAGTCCCAATAAGTAGTGAAGCTTCTCTACCTTCCATCTTTCAGCGATAAAAGAGTACAGACACCACATGCCGCAACCGGCTAGAATGCTGACCGGGATATTGGCTTGCATCCAAAACCGTTCTAACTGAAATTAAAAACTTTCGTCAAAAGTTATAATAATGTTTTGCAGAATTAATTTTTCTATGCAGGCATGCGCGCAATTAATATAATTATTATATATTTAATGATCCAGGCCACGTTATTTTGACGCATTAGCTTCTACAAATTCGCAATTCTGCGTCCGCGCCGGGCGCTAAAATCACTCTCCATCGCAATAATCAAATCAATCCAAATCAAATAATAATGCAATGACACAGACAATAATGTAATGATACAAACATCATCAGAGGGTGTATTCTCAGTTTTTATGGCACGGCCCACAATACATTCTGTAATTTGGCTATTATCAAGTTATTTTACTAGTACTATTCTATTATGGAAAATATGCTGTAGAGAAAATATGCTGTAGAGACGTAGATAATCGCATTAAAAATATGATTCCTAAATATTCAAAGCTAGACACAACTAAGACCATTTGATAAAGAAACTCAATAATCATAGGAAAGTAATATAAACTTACCACGCCCTTGTTAAATTCTTTCGCGCTGAGATCAACATTTGCCTGGTTACAGAAGAAGAGAATGTAGACTCCAATATTAGCAGCGTACACGTACACGATCTGAAATATCAACCCAGATACAGTGATCGTAAAAAGGTATAATTTCCAATAATACATCTCTTGGCCCTTCCCAGTCAGTGGCTTAACGAAGGGCCCCGCTATGCGGGGGGGGGGGGGGGGGGGGGGGGGGGGGGCGCCGTCTTAGGGGGGCACCACATCGTCGTTTGTGGGACAATTTCGAAAACTTAACTAAAGTACTAGCAAAACTGCGCGTTTTGCTCTAGATACACACTTTTTTTGTGAGATTTTACCGGCGTATCCTAAAAAATCACCTAATTTGTTCAATTTGAGGGAGGGGCACCAAAAGGGAAGGGAGCGCCAACAGGGGGGCGCTTTGTCGGCGGGGGGGGGGGGGGGGGGGGGCCAACAGGCAACGTTACGCCACTGTTCCCAGTTCCCTACTATCTGCAAATCCACATAGTTCCAGCAGTGGAATTGTGGATTGTGGAACTGTGGTTCGTTATATAAATACAATAATACCTTTGCTGTTGAGTGCATAGTGCTGGATTAAACAATGTGTATTTTGTGTGAGGGTGATACGTGCGCTGATACAATATAGTGTGTAATATATAGTGCACAACTGTTATTTTTTTTGAAACTTCCCGCCAGCCAGTCTGAGGTGACTCGCAGTACTCGTACTCCGACAGGCGACAACCCTTGCGGGAAATTATCGGTTACCAGTGTCCACAACTTTTCGGGGAAATAATTCGCGGAAAATATTACAGCAAGTAAAATTCCCCCATATAAAAAGTGGAGATAGGAATGTGAATTTTAACCGGTCTTTATGGAGATAACTTACAGTTTTGATATGGGAGAAGTGCCAAACAGTAGTAAGACAGGCAGCACACAATAGCAACGTCAATATACCCAACTCCTTGATGACGTCACGTGTGTACATCCTGGGGGTGAGAGGAAATGTGGTTTATACACACACTATTTGTTAAATTATACAATTTCTGCGTACATCATCTCAGGGTTTTAGAAAATATGGAGCACGAAATAACAATTTATTAAGATTTGCAAAAGTTGGAATTCACGTTGTATGGTGCATAGTTTTGCGATAAATATTTTATTTGCGATATTTCCCTAGTGTATTATACACTATTTTTTTAAGAAGCCGAAATTAACAAAAAAGCATCATGGCTTACCCAAGATTTTAATAAGTTCAATAATTTATTTAAGCGAAGTTTACCTCAGATTCCCGAGAAAGTCACTTGAAAGACCGTCTTGTGCCTGTAGTCTGAAAGTGCCGTATTCTTCCCGTACAAAGTGTTTCCAGATTCCTAAAACATTCCAATTGAAAAATGATGAAAACAAATTGTATACTAAAGTCACTATTGTGACGGTACATTATAACTAGACAGAAACAAAGTGTGAAGGGCCTGAACGGAACCCCACGGTTTCAGTTCCTTGTTTAACACTGCCGTATAGCAAGGACATCCACCGGGTTCTCCAAGGATGGGTACATACATAATTAGTTTTAAACTACAAATGTTAGATTTATTGAGTATTATGTAATGGGATGGAAGCGTTTTAACCAGGTGTAGTAAGTACACACCCAGGCTTCACAATACTACAGGGGGGGGGGGGGGGGGGCAAAAGTCAGTACCCATACGTTGGGTCTTATACCACCTCCGTGTTTTACATTTGAGAGTTGTTGATTTGCAGATGGCATACTGTACCTACTTGTTCGAGGATTCCGTCACCAAAATTTGAAAATTCGATTTTTGGGGGCCACACCCAATTAACATTGAATTGCTTATACTCGTGTTTTTGAACATGTTAGAGACTTCGTTGTAAGATATTGCAATAGGTCATTTAATCCGGAATATAATCTGGAAATATGGTGCGAAACGGATTTGAAATGACGAAGTTATCAAGCAATTTGTTTATCTCGTTAGCAAAATTGATTGGGTACTCAATGATTACCCAATTACGACACCGTAATTGGGCTCTCTGCACGATTCCCATAATGCGGATCTAGCCTCAACCCAATCACCTGATCACACGTAATGAACAAACTCGTTATGCTTCATATCTCGGTCATCTGAGAAGCTAGAACCCCCATTTTTTTCAGGACAAATGTAATTTAAATGGCCAAACACCATTCAATAAAATTTGGCTCGATCCGACTATCCAAGCTATCAAATAAATGCGAAAATGAACCTTCATTTGCAAAAAATGAACACGAATATTTTTCGATTTGACAAATTCCTCGAACCAGTGGCGGTAGTAAGTCATACCAGAAAGAATTATGTCAATTGGGCACTCAGTGACTGAGCTATTAAGGCCAACGTATGGGTACTGACTTTTGGCCCCCCCCCCCTGTATAATATAAGAATTTGTTTTAATTCTAGACGAAAAGCTCGACTATTTGTAATAAATAAATATATATATGTAAATTTAAAAGCATTGTCTGATAGCTGATAAAGTACCGGATAAATAACCCGATAAATAACCTGATAAATAACCGGATAAATAACCTGATAAATAACCTGATAAATAACCTGATAAATAACCTGATAAATAACCTGATAAATAACCTGATAAATAACCTGATAAATAACCTGATAAATAACCTGATAAATAACCTGATAAATAACCTGATAAATAACCTGATAAATAACCTGATAAATAACCTGATAAAGTACGGTGGTCTCCCCAAGTGTTCGGCGCTCCAGCAAAGTAAGCGCTCAAGGGCAGTTGTATATAAGGGAGCAGTGCTAGGGTGAATATTGCTCCTGTGCAAGCAAACTGTTTTGCTGTTATAGCCTGAAAAAAATGCAGGTTTTTGTTGATAAACTGGATATGTGCAACTAGTATTTAACCATGGTCACACCGATCATTATAAGAAAATATCGGCAGATTTGCTGTGCAGAATTACTTATTCTTCGTTGTTCTGAACTTAGATTCGAGTGTTGAACTTATGTACTCGATTTCATCCAGAAAAACGAAAACTGAAAGCAAAGTTAAATATTTAAAAAATTTCACATTATTGAATTTTTTCGGGAATGCAATTTCAACTTAACGATGGAAGAAGTCTCATAATATAATGCCTCCTTTTTTGGTAATAGGCTGGACCTGGGTGGTACACAGATGTGGGATATCATGAATATGGTTTGCCTACCTCTAGGAATTGTAAAATTCACGGAAGCTGAGATGTTAAGACTAATAGAAAAAGAGCCAAAACTGAATGAAGAAAGAGCTTACCTTGTCCCTCAACAGAGAGATGAACATCCATGATCCTACAACAGAAATAAAGAGAACGCTGGTGTGCTGATTACACATACTCAGCCCTGACAGGAAACTCGCCTCCATGGCAACCTGACAATATAAATAAGTCAATTGGTTTCAGTAAGATCAGTTCTTATCGTGGCGTGGAGTGGGGTTATCATCATTCGGTGGCGAAATCCTGAATGTTTCGAACAAATCCCCCTCCCCCTCCCCCTGAACAGCCCCTCCGCCTCCCCCTCCACCCCTCCACTCCACCCTCAACCACCCGTAGAATTAAAGTATCGTACCCTGGCTCTATTAGTAACCGCAGCACGTTGGAACCTGACCACCCAATAAAGGAGAAGAGCACAAAACAGATTGTTCAGGGAGAATATCTCCGCACCAACCGAGTGGAACCACACCAGGTGAGAAAAACCGAATACAGTACTGGCAAACACTGCACTCGGGATGAAATTGGTAATCCTGCGGATTTATTATTGACGTTTCTGACGTTACTGTTGGGGAGCTATTGTTGCAAGTAAACTGTGCAGATACTGAAAGCTTGAGAATATTTCCCGGTAATTTTCATTATGAATTACAGGGGGTGGATGGAACGATTATTAATAGCAGTTTATGTAATTGTCACTCTGTTCACAATTCAGTTTTATTTTGGCTGATATATCATGATACTTTTATGAAGCGATATCGATCTATAATTTCAATTTAAAACCAGTTTAATACCAGCAGAAATTCCCGGGAAAATGAATGATTTTGAGCTTACTTTTATCAGTTTTGTATGATATTCACTAGGAACTAACTTGTAAGTAGTGATGTATACAATTGTCGCAGCCAGCCCTCCAATCATGCTGGTAAGGAGATTTAATTTAAACGCAGGACTTCCAAAAGGTAATAATTTCATCCAAATATATCCCAATGTCACGTACAGAGGATATCCAGGCGGGTGAGCCACCCCAAAGTGATGGGATGCCATGATAAAGTCACCTGAATGATAGGTACTGTTAGGGGTTTTAATGTTTCAGAGATTTAAAAATATGTAAAATATTACGGAGATTTCATACTATTTGTGGTGTCGTACTGTCTCTTTAAACAATTTCTTGCAAGACTAAAATGCCTGTTGTCACACAAAAGGGACTCATCCTATTCCTTGAAAATCAGTTTTTTTACCACATGCCCATCTAAAAATATACATTGAAACCAAAGATAAAGTTTATTTGAATAAAATACACACTGAAACAGAAAACAACAAAATCACAACAAAACAGACATATATATAATAATGTGGCTGCAATAATTTGCAACTGCGGTCACATGCACATTGCACAGGTCTTTAATTAATGCGGCCTGCAGGGGATTCTAATTTGGCGTAAATTCAGAAGCTTTGTACATACCTGCATCCCCACTAGGAATGGAAGCTGATGTGCACTTAACATAAACACTAAGGAAAACACCCAAAGCAATGTAGAAGTGCCACTCCAATGTGAATATACGTTCTAACGGCTCCTCAGCTACTACCCCTGTGGAGTGTGGGGGAGTTTTCAGTTTACTTTTAAAATCAGTAATTGAATCAGCAGAAGGTACTGGTCGAAATTTCGATGGAAACTTTAATCCAACTGAATTATTTTTAAATTGATCGTTGGTCTGTTTGTTTATGACTGGTTCACTTTTCTTAATGACTGGCATAGTTATCGTTTCATTGAGTTAACGGGAAAAAAAATCAAAATAATATGTCCTTGGAAATTCTCCCAGTAGCTGTTGTTCCGAATACGATGGAACACATGTCCGGGTCAGAATACTATTGCTAACAGGTAAATAAAAACACTGATATTTGAATGTACTTAATGGGCCAAAGAATCGATAAATTGCAGATCTGTAGAATTTTGAGTATCACATCCTTACTCTACCAACAGTAACTAATATCTCTGAACTAGACCCACCTTTGAGTTTGCTCGATGATGTTTTCTTTGTCACAGTAAGCTTTCCTTTTAATCGAACCATACTAGAAAATCCTCTCGCTTTTCAAGCTATCAGGATTGGATTTTTAAAAAGGTACAATTATCTAGTTGTTTAAATAAAAGGTTTAAACGACTCCAAATGCGCAGATAAATTATAGTGTGTAATATTATATAGTGTGCAACTGTTATTTGTTTTGAAACTTCCTGCCAGCCAGTCCAGTGAAGTGACTTGCAGTCTTTCCTCATAATACTCCGGCAACCCTTGCAGGAAATTATTGGTTACCAGTGTCTACGACTTTTCGGGGAAATAATTCCCGGAAAATATTATAATACACAAAACGCTCAAGCTGGAGCCGGCTCAAGCTGATCCCTCCAAACTACCGATTACATTACACACAGGGCCTTGTAAATGTAATGTGTATTGTGTAACACTTTACAGGCGACAGCAAACAAACACAAAAACTTATAACATGGGTGAAACAGGACACCAGTCCACACGTGTACGATCTCAGCCGCGCAGTATCATATAGCAGTCAAATTGCAAAGGGTCCTGGACCCCCAAATCGAGGCAAATCATAATAGATTACCTATAGTGGGATGCGCACGATGTGCTTTGTAACGTTTACAATTAACTATGTGTTAAAACTGCGCGGCTGAGTGGTCCAGGACTCCCTACAACACAAAATTTCACGAAGATCACGCGTGCGCTTACATCAAAACGTATGATAGTAAATGAAGACCTTTATATTGCGATTTGTTATTTCCTAACACTATTACTAATTACTATTTCTATTTTAAGCACCAGCCACCAGATAATAATTTTAAGGCGTCCACGGACGCCTGGACGCCCTCAATAGCCGCCTCTGCTAAGCGCGATAATTCCCGACAGCTTGCTGGAGGGAACACGCATGCACGAAGTAGTGGAGGTATTGTATTTTATAATACCTTCTGGGAATTATATCCACTAAAAGTCTCCGACACTGAGAGCTGATAATTTGTACATTATTCCCGCTAGAGAAACCGAGGTATTATCAGCCCAGACTCCCCGTCGCCTTGATGAGCGGGGATGCGCTACATTTAAACTGATAATACCCGGGCTGGATATTTTCTTATGAGAGTTCTTGTCACGTGACTGGAAAGCGTGGGAGAGGTGCGCGCACCATGCTGCACGCGTTGGCACGGTCCCTAATTTGAACCAGTTCCAAATACGTCAGTCGTTAGTCAGTTGCTATATCCTTTGTTAATCAGAACCTTTTTGTTATTGTGACTGTCGAGTTTTAATCATGAACATCCGACCACTGAGTGAAGATGAATTACAGCTACTGGCAGCTGATTCAGATGGTCAGGGGACAAAGAATCAGAATAACTGGTCGAAAAACAGATACAGAGCCTGGGCATTGTGCCACAACGAAGTGGCCCCCTTGGACAACATTCCTAGTGAGTTCAACGACGTTCCTCTAGACAGAATAACTTTTGTTCTATCAAAGCTCATTACTGAAGTTACTGACATCAAGGGGCAACCATATGAAGCCAAAACTTTTCATGCCCTTATACTTGCTCTCTGTAGAGTGAGTGTAGTGAACAATGGTGAAACAGGAAATTTCATGTCGAAAGAACCAAAGTTTGGATTTCTTAACCGGCTCATAAACGGACGAATGAAGCATTTGCAAGGATTAAGAAGAGACAAAAAGAGGAAACGAGGTGAAGATATAGTTACTTCTGAACAGGAAGACAGCCTCTGGACGTACGCTTTAGACTTAGATGACCCTCGGGGACTTCTGCGAGCAGTTGTGTATGTATTGACTAAAATGTTGACTCTAAGAGGCGGTTCAGAACTCTCTGATTTAAGCCTAGCAGACCTGCAATCCTCACCAGTTGATGAGAATACTGTATTGTATACTTACACCGAAAACCGGTCTAAAAACCATCAACCTGGAATTCAATCCGTTAACAGGGATAAAAAAGTAATAGACCACCGCTCTACTAAAGATGATGAAAGAGACCTCCACTACATCCTAGAACGGTACCTTCAACATTGCTCCGCTGAAGTACGCAATGCCACACACTGTGATCCCGTTAAGCTCTTGCACCATGTAAAACCTAGGTTAACTAAAGAAAAGGGAAAGCTTACAGAAATATGGTACTCAAACAGGTCCATCGGAAAGAACTATTTCCCAGTTTTGTTTACAGAATCGTTCCAAATGGCAAAGATTTCTGAGACAGACTTTAATGGTACTTTAAGACACTTGCGGCATACCACCATAACGAATCTTAGGAGCACAGGGATGTTTACTGATTCAGAAATCAGACTTCGCACAGGACACATTTCGGATAAATCACTAAAGTCGTACGAGCGCCCTAGTGGAAAAGATCTCACGAAGAGATTATCTGATGCAGTGAGAGGTAAATTTCAAATTAACATTTGTTTCCCAAAACACAGCATTAATGCAACAGGTTTCTGTTATCTAATGCATTCTTTTTAACGATTATTTTTGCCGTTAAATTTCAAATTAATATTTGTTGCCCAAAACACAGCATAAATGCAACAGGTTTCTGTTATCTAATACATTCCTTTTAACGTTTATATTTGCCGCAGGAAATGAGAGTTCTAGTTCCGCAGCAGCAGAAAACAGAAACACCACAGCAGCAGAAAACAGATACACACCAGCAACAGAAGACACAACGACACAAACGGAGATTATGATCACAGCCAACTGCAGTCAATCATCTCAAACAGAAATAAAAGGTAAATCTCAAATTAATTGCTCTTTTCCCTAAACACAGCATTAGTGGACTTTCTAAAATTTGTATAAGTTTCTGTTATCAAATGCTTGTATTGAATAACAATCGGACGTGTTTTAAAATTTCCAGAGATGTTGAATTTTGCTTATTGAAGGATGATATTTTTAACAATTCTATTCACTTCAGGAGACACGAGATCCAGTTGTACAGCAGACACAGCAACACAGACGGACGCGATAATCGACATTACAGATTCAGATCTGGAATCCCTGTCAGAAACAGACTCCGTAGCCAAAACTGTAATTAAGAATGAACCTATTGACTTTGAGAGTGAAGATAACGAGAACATTAACGTAGCATTTTCTCAAAGGACGAGTTTATGGAGAAATTATTGAATATTTATTACTACAGGACAATATTAATGCCGCCCTTGAATAAAGGGCGGCATTAATATTGTCCTTGATTCATTGTTTAAGGTTTTCATCGAAGCCTAGAATTTACTAAATATCTATTACCAAATATTAGAAAGAAAGTCACAGCTTGGATGTTAACCCCATTTTTCTCAAAATTCGACTTTTGGAACAGAGCAAAAAATTTAACAAAGTTGAATCGCTGGAAGAAATGAGCTTAACAAATCAAATTTGTAAGCTTTATGAACTAACTAACTAATGGCAACCGACGCGATAATGGGCATTTTGCTCCTTTATAAAATTTGTTACTGTTTTTTAAATCTGGACAATATTTTTGAAATATCTTGTATTACTACAGGACAATATTAATGCTTACTCCATTTTATACTTTAAAAAAGAAGTTTCCTTTGTTCAATGCATCCCAAGTGAATAATATTTATCACTTATTAAACTGACACATACAAAATTAAAAATCTTCTACTATATTAGCAGCAGCAAAATCATACGATTGTGTCCGCAAAGAAACCAAATACGTTCATGTCGGAACCGGAAAATATTATAATACATAACACCTTGGCAATTTCGTGCCCGCGCGTTCCCTCCAGCAAGCTGTCGGGAATTATCGCGCTCAGCACTCAATAGCCAAGGTATTATTATATTATAATACCTTCTGGGAATTATATCCACTAAAACTCGGGGACACCGAGAGCTGATAATTTGCACATTTTTCCCACAAGGGAAGCAAAGGTATTATCAGCATAGACTCAGACTGGCTGGCGGCAAGTTGTAAAACAAATAACACTGGCGTTCTATATATTAGACACTATATTGTATCATGCGCACGTATCACATTACACACCTTCTAATCGGAACCGGAATGTATTATGATACATAATAGGTTGGCAATTTCGTGCCTGCGCGTTCCCTCCAGCAAGCTGTCGGGAATTATTGCGCTCAGCACTCAATAGCCAAGCTATTATTATATTATTTGTTTTGAAACTTGCCGCCAGCCAGTCTGAGTCTATGCTGATAATACCTTCGCTTCCCTTGCGGGATATATCTGCAAATTATTAGCTCTCGGTGTCCCCGAGATTTAGTGGATATAATTCCCGGAAGGTATTATAAAAGTATAATCACCTCCGGGTGCATTGCTAAGTGCTAGGGCTAATTCGTTTAAGACAATAATTCAAATTGAGAATAACAAATTCATCGAGGAATAAGGAATTACATTTAGACTAACTTCCTTACACGGTCATATCACGTGATCGAGACAGTTTTTCGCCAATATCTCGCCAGGGGAGCATTTTAACCCTATGTCATGGGGGTTTACGTCATGCTGGTGGCAGTAAATAGGTACAACACACATAACGCTGGGACGCACAGGGATTATATTTCAATTTTGTGTTATAAACACCTCTGGAGTCAGTGGCGTTACTTTGTGTGTTGGCGCCCCCCGCTCAATTTTCAATTGGACAGGAAAATACACAAATAAGGCGTTTTTTCAGTGAAAGGGCCTAAAATTCAGGAAAATTGCGCCCCTCATACGCACAGCGGGGTCTGCGGGGCCCTAAGTTACGCCACTGTCTGGAGTGTTTCTAAGTGCTAGGGCTAATTCGTTTTAATATTTACCTTTCATTCTAGCTAGGCTGTTGATATTCGGTTACTGAACTGTTGATATTCGGTTACTAATTCATATCATCATGTCATACTACTATGGAACGATATCATATTATTATGGAACGATGCTCGTGGGATCGGAATTAAATTATTATATTTGCACTTGTTTCTCTTTTGACCAAGATGTGACGAAGTTAAATTTAAATGATTTTTAAAATTTGAATTTTAAGAACACTTGCACATTATTTATTTATTTATTTCTCTATTGATGTATAATATTAATCAAAACGTGAGTGTTAGGGCTTTCATTGAAAAATTAATGTTTAATCCTGTTTAATCCCGTTTATGTTAATCCTGTTTAAGATCCTGTTAATTATGGAAGATGTGAAATGGAATTGGACGTATATTATACTACTAATAAATATATAAAGCCGTGCGCCAATGGTTTTTAGCTCGTATTTTTATTTGGCCACAGGGAGACTAAAGTACGTGCAAAAACTGCTGCTGACTGCTCACAGGGAGACTAAAGTGCAAAGAAACTGCTGCTTATAACTGCTACTGACTGTTGCTAACTGCTGCTGCCTGACTGTTGCAAATACTATTTACAACTATTTTAAACTAATTACAACACTACAAATCTATTACATTTATTGAGGATGTCCAATATGTCCATGGCTTGCTAAAGTTAACTGCATCGGGGGTACTATGATGGTCCAGGGGGTGCTGAAACAGAAGACTGGCACTCTTAACCTGTTAAGAAGTTAAGTAGTTGTAGTGAATAATGTTTCTGTTTGGCAATGTATAACTCCATTCACACCACAATCCACAATTGGACAGTTGGACAACCCTGATTAATGTGTAGATAGTGTTGAAAGAATTTTAAACTTTAAACTTGAACATCACTTCTGATAACTTTTGGGGCTGTGCTCCAAGAACAGGCTGACATATTATGTGGCCTATGGATTATATATGTAATGTATTCTGATTCAATGATAGGGCTTGCCAGTCCAACCACCTCATATTTTTCATACGCACTCACTCTTTTGTCCCATGTGTCGTAGTCCGTCAGTCTGTTCAATTTTTCAATCTTTCTTTTGAATCATTTTGACTAATCCCGTTTACACTTTCATTGTTGTAAACTGGATTTTTTCTTCCAATACAGAATATTCGAAACTGCTATCTGCTCTTCTTTCTTTTCAGGGGGTGTGCTGGTTGGACGTGAAGGTGCCCCCTGGTCTGTCTGGTACCCTCAACGCTTCTACGCCATGATTGATACATCTAACGACACTCACCCAGAAAAGTGTGAGAGTCCACAACCTGTTCCGGACCAGACTACACCCGCTACGGTTCCGGACCAGACTACACCCGCTACAAATATCATTGCCGATATTGATGAAGTACTGAACGACGTCGACAAAATACTTCATGAATCAGAGGAAAATAAAAACTGTAGCAGCCTTATTAGTTTCTTTTCAAATGAGTCTGCCCCCTTCGACAACTTTTTGTTAACTCATTCGCAGAGCCTGCGCTCAGAGATAGATATCATCAAGCTTAACATTTCTAACCTTTTGAAAGTTGAAGTGAACAACTTTGGAATCATAACGCCATCTATGGTTAAGGGTTGTTCCTCTCTTAATAAAGCCACCCTGGCAGAGGGTCTCCTATCCTTGCTTGGCCTTGCTGAAAATGTTTGTGCTGTTGTTAGTGGCAAGAAATGTGACCACGACGTTAAGTCCCCGTCATACTTGTCAGCTCCCTCCACCATTCCAATGGGTCATACTATCTCTGACGGAAGCTCTATACACAAGTCTTTAGAAGCCATCCAAATATCCATCAAAAGCTTGAAAGACAACGATAGCCATCTTAGGACTCTTGACTCCATCAACTCCAAGCTTGCTGAACTTAAACTTGATATTAACTGTTTCAAAAACAGTAGGTCTTCCAACGTGTCCACTCCTGACCTGGCCTTACCTCCTTTTAACATAGGGTCACCAGCAGCCTGCGAATCAGACCATGAACAACTCCTACTGGATGCACAGAAGCCTTCAAGTGCAGACGAACCTAAGTCCAAGCACATTATGTCTTATGTACCAGAATTCATTGATACCACCTTGAACTCTGAGCTCTTAAATTTCCTTGATCAACAGAAAGATGATTTTGACTGTAACTCAGAAAATGGGCATGGAGTTATAAGCTTTGGAGAACCATATGATTACCCTGGGGCAAAAGCTGCTAAGCCCAAATCAGAAGACCTCCCCGATGTTCTTGTTGAACTTGCCTCAAGAATAAAGAAGCATTGCCCTGGTACAGTTATTAATCAATGCTTGATCAACCGGTACAATGATGAGAGCAGCTTTCTCCCCAAACACTCGGACAACGAGAACTCTCTTGTGCACGACAGTTCGATTTTCACAGTATCCTTAGGAAGCCAGTGCTCGGTTAAGTTCTCAATGAAAGGCTCAACAAATGGGGAAGTCATTGAGACGATAGAGGGACGCAGTCTTTATATCATGAGCAAGCAGTCCCAGTTCCTCTGGGACCACAGAATAGATAAGAGCACTGAGAAGAGGGACATAAGATTCAGTATAACGTTCCGTTATGTTAGCAACAGCACCAATGCAACATTGATTATTGGTGACTCAAACACCCGGTTCCTCCGGTTTGGTGCAGGGAAAGGGACATTTGGTCACAAACTGCCTGGAAAAAGAGTTGAATGTTTCACAATAGATCAGTTAGACCCTGCTATTTGTGTAGGATACAAGAACGTTGTAGTACACTGTGGTGTAAATAATATTAAAAGGGGAGGGGGTGATGTTAAACATTGGGCTGATGAGCTGACGAAGAAGCTCAAGAATATTTGTGATTTGTGTCCATATTCTAAAGTTATAGTCTCACCCATCCTACCAACTAGGTCCTCCTGGCTGAATGACAGAGCCATGGAATTTAATAGTTTATTATTTGGTTACTGTAATACTAACACTAGGATAGGAACTTTAGATTTTGATAGTTTTGTCGATGAAGAGGGTCTACTGAACAAGCAGTTCTGTAGATACAAGAAGCCGGATGACCCAATCCACCTTGGATCAAACGGTATCTTTAAACTCTCTCGGGCAATTGCCCATAAGATCCTAGGTAGCCCCGTTGATGGGAGGTTGTTCAGTGCTGTTGCCAAGGCCCAAAATAGATTTTCCCCACGTCCCCGTAGATCTGTACTTCAGTCATGATAGTCAAACTAATATGCGAAATTTGCTGCTGCTGCAATAGACCTGTGCGTGCTGGACATCCATTCATAATTTGTCAGATGTGTGACAAAATAATGCACAAAAAATGCAAAACTGATGATAACATAGTCAAATTTCGAGATGGAACATACTGCAAAATATGCACTGATGCCAATGATATTGTTCGGTACAACCCTTTCTACCAAGCTCCCCACTTTGCAAACAATGGCCTCATTGATGATGAGCCAGTCAATTATATAGAATCTATCTACAATAGCTCAAAGGTTCTTGAAAATTGCAAAACATTCTCCATAAAAGAGTTGAATGCCACCATCCTACCTAAAAAATCAGTTAAATATTTGTCCAAATTATTTCTTAACATTGATGGAAATGCATCCAACTTTGACAACTTTGCAGTTGAGCTGTCTTGTATCGACCACAAATTCTCTGTTATCGGCCTTGCAGAAACAAACACCAATCCCGAAAATGGAGCCCTGTATCAGCTTAACGGATACTCCTCCTGTTATCAATCACGTTACTTTTGTCAAAAGAAAAACCAGTTCAAGAGTAAAGGGTCAGGAGTGTGTCTTTACCTGCACGATTCCCTTAACTTTAACAAGATTACTGGCTTATCTCTCTGTAATGAACACATAGAATCACTATTTGTATCTATCACTAGCTTGCAAGACCCAACTGTTGTAGGGGTTATCTACCGTCCCCCGAACGCATCACTTGAACTGTTCAACGAAGCATATGAACGTATTCTCTCAAAATTGAATGGCAAAAAAGTATACATTCTTGGTGATTTCAATGTCAACATTTTGAAAGACCCATCTCCATCAGAGGACAAATTCCAAGAAAATAATATTCAACAACGGCTTCACACCAACCATATCAGTACCAACACACCAAATGCCTGGCTGTTCCAGGACTTGTATCGACAATATCCACACCAATGTAGTAGACCAATCCCTTATTTCTGGTGTGATATCTGATAATATCTCCCACCATCACCCTGTATTCACTCTAGTTGAGCTTCCCCCTAACTCTGTGCCTAAACCTGATTCACCAGACAAAATTACCATACACTACGACTATAGTAATGCTAACCTAGAGAAGCTCTGTCTTGAAATAGAAAACGATATAGATAGGTTCCAGAACAGCTGTGACACATTTGACTCTTTCATGCAGTTATTTCAAGAAAAGATAGATTTGTCTTGCAAACTTCTTACTCCTAGAACCACTAAACGCAACAGCATAACTAACCCTTGGATTACCCAGGGGCTAATTAATTCCATAGACAAGAAAGCTAGGCTGTATTTCGAATGGAAGAAGACTTGTACATTAAAACTACCTGACGGGGATCAAAACAAGCACATCTGCTACAAGGAATTCGACAAGTTTCTCAAAAACTCAATAAATATGGCAAAAGCTATGTGCTATACTAGAAAATTCGAGAAGTACAGCATGAACTCAAAAAAGACCTGGGAAGTTATCAATGAACTCCGTGGTAAGAATATGTCTAGATGTAAGGACGATTTTGTCATAGATGGCCAGAGAATTACTTGCAGACGAATAATTGCTAACAAATTTTGTGAATACTTTACATCTCTTGCAAGCAATCTCAATAGAAATGTATTGTCGAACAATAGTATTTCTCTGGAACCAGTAGAATCATTTGCTCAATTCATGTCTAATTCAGTGTCCGACTCCATATACCTAGAAGAAACTAATGAAGATGAGATTATCGAGGTCATCAGAGATTTTCAAAATGGCAAGGCAAGTGACATACCTATAATCGTTGTAAAAAAATCGGCAAAGCTCATCGCTGGTACCTTGGCTAGGCTTTACAACATATGTATACAAAGTGGAACATTCCCAAGTATTTTTAAAACTGGTAAAGTTATTCCTATTTACAAGAAAGACAATAAGGAATGTATTGAAAATTATCGGCCTGTATCAATATTACCTTTATTTGGAAAAATTTTCGAGAAGGTCATTTACAAACGGCTCTATAATTTCTTCACATCTAAAGGTGTACTAACAGACTCGCAGTTTGGATTTAGAAAAGGCCATTCTACCGCCCATGCTCTACACAAATCTATAGACTCTGTTACAAAGTCCCTGGCTAGCAATAAACATGTCCTAGGCATATTCATAGACTTGAGCAAAGCCTTTGACACCCTTGATCACAATATTCTTCTAAGCAAGCTAAATTCCTATGGTATTAGGGGCACAGCACTAACTTTACTAAAAAGCTACTTGACTAACAGAAAGCAGTATGTGATGTATAACGATGTACCATCAGAAACAATGGATGTGGAATTCGGGGTTCCTCAAGGGTCAATTCTAGGGCCATTACTCTTCCTACTGTATATGAACGATATAGTAAACTGTTTTTCAGACAGTGAAGTGAAATTTGTACTTTATGCTG